AACAAAGACGAAACTAAAACTGGGTGTGAAAAAACATTTTAGTAAACGAGAATAAAATAAAAATGTTAGAAGTTGAAAAACTAACTAAAATAGAATAAACATTTCAAGGGAATATTCTTAGCTTTAGTATTAGTAAAATAACGTAAAACTTTCATAACATGTACTGAAGTTATTGTACAAAATCATACAGTGTACAGTTTTTAATCCAGTGTCTGTAGCAGAGGTCTCCAACATAAGGCCCAAGGGCCAGAATCAGCCCTCCAAAGACTTCAATCTGGCCCAATGGGCAATTCTAGAAAATGTGAAGGTGAGCATAAATTTAGGACTTTTAATTCTATCTTCCAACGTTTTGCAGCATGATAAAGAGCTCCCCCATGGCCAATCTTACAACACCAAGTTTCTCTGGTTTGGCCCACTTTGAAATCAAAATGGGATGTAATGGGCCCACGATGTAAAATGTGTTTGACATCTCTGGTTTATAGCACAAAGCAACTATAAGCTATGACACACACACAAAAACTCCATGCACGCTCTCCTTTCTTGTCTCATCACTCTTTCTATTCCATTTCCTTCCATCCTCCAGTCCCAGGCCTCCCACTCCTCTGTTTCTGCGGCTCACTGAGTGCGAGGCTGCTCTGCTCATCCAGGCTTTCTGGAGAGGATACAAGGTATGTTGAACATGACTGGAAGCTGAGTGCTGTTTACAGGCTTTCTATCCCACCATTTACAAAAGGGCTGGGGTTTGCAGAATGACAGGTCTGAAAAGCACCAAAAAGTGTGGAAAAAATAAACAGGAAACCTAAACTTTAAGAAACGAGGGACGTTTTATGGAACGAAGAGGTTGCATTGCATAGTCTTGGATGCATTTTACATTTCACTGACACACAACTTTAGCTTTGCCTGCTTGAGCAACTTCACAAACTCATCAAAGAATTCACAGTGTGGACATAAGATAACATTTTGAAGAAGAAAGTGTGTAGGAGTCCGGCAATCATCCCACAAGAACACAGCGACCCTGTGTGTGTGTGCGCGCGTGTCTGTTAGGCTACAATAGGCTCCCGCTAAGCGTGCATCGGCCAACAGTCTTGTTGTTGTCAGTCTTGTTGTATAATCCCATCCCCTTAAAGAGCCCCCTCTTCCACAGGGGCTGCAGTTTCATTCAGCAGCTTGATTATGTCATCAGTGATGCCAGGCTTTAATTCCCTCCTGTGTGGGTGTTGTGGTCTGAAGCACTCTGTGCTGTGATATAAATAGATATGCACAGACACTTCCAGAGGCAAACAGCAGCATCTCTCTCTGTCGCTCTTTCTCCCTCACACACACACACACACACACACACACACACACACACACACACACACACACACACACACACACACACACACACAGAGATAAACACCAGCCCCTGTGGTGTAAGGATAAGCAAGGGTCATGTTTTGTTTGTCTTGACAGAACCTCTTCTTTTGTGCGTTTCTTATCCGAAGTGCTTGTGGGAGGATTCAGCCTTAGTGTGGCTGCACAAACCACTGAGAGAAAAAGAGGCCAGCTGCACCGACGTGCACAATTGCATTACATTTGAATGATTTGAAAATGTGCTTGCACATGTGGGCCTGAAGATAAAAGTGTGGATGCGGGCATAAAAAAGATGGATGGAATGTGTGTCGTGAACTGCTGGGGCACCAGCAGAGGGCAGCACTCCCTCTTATTTGCCTTTTTTTTTTTTCTCCATGAACAACAAAATATAATTGATCTCTGCCCACATGTGGTGGCAGCAGTGAGCCAGCTGTCTGTCACTCCTTGCTGTATGTTTACCCTGAAATAAGAGGTTCAGCAGGGCCACTGATAGGACTGCAGCTGAACACCCCAAGGGATTCAGGGAAAGAGAGAGAGAGTGTGTGGGTAGAGACAGAGTGAGGGAATGGGAGGATTATGAGGAAGGATGATGGTTGGTCTATGTTTGGAACACTTTTGCATGGATGGCAAACGGGAGGAAAGAGGCGAGCTGATGTTGCAAAGTGGTGCCAGAGTAGGAAGATGCAGTTCTTCTAGGGGGTGGGAAAAGGGAGAGAGATGCAGCACAATCAGGGTCTGCAGCTAAGCGTTGGCCTCTTGGAAGACGCCTCTAGGATCATGACTTATTTAGGCTACATGGAGCGGAGCAGAATTTTTGTTTGGTCCTGACAGGCACTGTAGTGTGTTTCGACTGCTCTCACCTTGTCTTGAGAAAAACGGCAGTTAACAGCGGAGTGGGCAGCAGAGGAGGGACGAGCACGTCAGCACAAACCGAGTGAACTGTAAAGCACCAGTGCCTTGTTAAACTTCTACTGGGATCATTAAACATAACTATTACAGAATTATTCTTACACCAGCGTGCAATCAAGATGTCGTAGCTCACAAATCTCATTTCTAAGTAAAGAATTCCAAGGAATGTTTCACTCAAATCTGCCTCTCTGTCTGATTTTATGTGCTTGAGGATAGTTTATTAGAGCATAATAGGATTGTGGGATTTTCCTGTAATATATAGTCAGTATAAGATCAGTGCACTCTGTTCACTTCACCCCCATCTGCCTCCACACGCACCCCATTCCCCCCTCACACTTACACCCTCGGCTGTTATATAACCAGCTTGACGCAGCGCTGACTGCAGAGGGTGTGTGCGTGTGTGTGCGTGTGTGTGTGAGTGAGTGTTCTGGTAAGAAAGACAGACAGACTGAAGACTAGGAAGGGGCATGAGAGTATTTTTGTAGAGTGGAATTTTATCCCTCCATTATTAATCTCTTTCATCAAAACGCTGAGGGCTGAAGCAGAGCAGTGCTGGAGTGCACACAGACGCACACACAAACACACATAGACACAGATGCAAACTCATGACCCAGACAGTGCGTTTGTCTTTTGTTTTACTCACGTATAACTGTTAAGAGCTCCTAGGTCTAAACATATTATATAATCTTCTTTACACCGTGTACCTTAACCTAACTATAATCCATTCATCCATGCCTGCTACTCTAATGCACACTGATGTGCAAGCATGGACACACACACAGTCTCCTCTGATCACTAAGACTTCTCAGGATTATTCATGTCAGCTGAGCTAGAGTAGTGTGACTGTAGTGTAATAAATTCCCATTGCAATTAGACTGTCAATATTAGTGGGTTGTGGTCTGGTAGCTTTGCCCTTTATCATCATCACTGCCATTTCCACTGGCTCCAGTTGCAGATTTATTTATGTGGCTGGCCTTATCTCAGCTGCAGCGCACCTTTTATCTGACTGAAAAAAATAAATAAAAATCAAACCTAAGTCAGTTTTTTGGGGGGAGCGGGTCCTTTTTCTGTAGTGAAAACTTGAAACAAATAGCATCAGTTGATTTCCACTGGAGAGTTTGGTAGATGAAAAGTCTGATACAACCACACGCAGTATAAAACAAGGATGTAGCCACCGTGACATCACCTGTCCTATTTTGAAACTACGAAGTGTTTTCACTGTCATGATTTTGTTGTTTTGAAACCAGATGTGATAAGCGTTGGCCAGAGCTGACTGTGAAATTCGGCATTCATTGGCTAACTAATTGTCAGTCCTATCCTGTTACCCAATGAGCACCTCCTGGATAAATCTGGTTTTGTGACATTTAGAATGGCTAAAATGTAAAAAGTAAACTTGATGATTTCTAGATGATTTCTGATGTAAGGCAGTTCAGTTAGCTAGCTGCAACCAGCCAGAATACTTCTAGTTTTGTCCAGTCATTATGCAGTGTATACACTGTACCACGTATATGACATATAGTAGGTTTTATACAACTTTGCAACCAAACAGTGAAAAACTTTCGTTCTTGTGCATGTTTCAACACTGTTTTAGCCGATGCTAACTACGTATGCAGAGTGTGAACACACAGCATGGGTGGTTTTATTAACAATTGATGATGTCATCTTAAAAACTTTTTAAAAAGGCTCATACATCTTTTTTCTTACTGATACTCCCTTTTTTACATTCCTCGTGCATTAATTTTTGTCTGCTTCCAGAATGTGTCGTTTTTCCTACTCTACTTTTCCTCTCCTATCTGTCACCTCTATCCCCAGCCGGCAGCTGGTTGCGGTCGATGGCTGCCACTTCCTGAGCCTGGTTCTGCCTGAGGTCTCTGCTTGTGAAAATGGAGTTCTACTTTTCAAAAGTGTTTTCTCTCTAGTTCTCTCTTGGGTCTTGACATTTTAATACAAAGTGCTTTGAGGTGACTGTTGTTGTAAATTGGCACCACATAAGTAGAATTAATTCAATAGAATAGCAAAAAATCTTGGGTTTCATCGGCTTTCTTTCTCATAGGCCTTTTAATAGACCTTTCCTTCCTTCTTGTACTGCAGCTATTAAGAAATATTAAGAAATGGGGCACTGCAAGTGCTGAGTTGTATTCCTCCTGACATAAACGAATAGAGCTGGTTGAAAGAAACACACACATATATGTGCACACACACACACACACACACACATTTGCCCCTCCCCAGAGTACTGCGTAGTCAACAGTAGAAGTAGGTCTATGATTCCAGTTCAATGGTCCAAGGGCAGCAATAGATGAATGGTTTTAAATGTGGTTCGCTGTTAAGTTAATTTGATGTACCACGTGCAGTGACACTCATGCAGAAGATATGTCTCAGGCTTGGTCCTTGCTTACCCTCCTGTAAATGGGCTGATGTCTCATATTTTCACTTGTGCATTTATCTGTGCCTACATTTGTCTTAGTTCTTATTTAAATGTAAGTATTTTTTTACCTTTAGGACAGTAGGGTGGCAGTGCAACTGCTTATTGTGACTCAGTCTACAGGGGCATGAATACAGGCCACAGGTCACTGGGCTGGTTAAGCCTTGAAGGAAGCTGTGGTGAACACAAAGATGATGGATGGGTGGAGTGTGAAGGGAAAATAAAGCAGACTGTGGCTGTGTCTTTATGCACTTGGTCGTGCAGCCACTTCCCCGGGTGAGGAGCTCAGTCTCAAAGTCAGCTTTGCACTGGAAAGGAATGCAGCTTGAAAGGCTTAGTTACGAGACTGCAACGTGTGCGTGCACACCATAATGTTGTATGCAATTGTGGATAATGTGGCGTGTGATAACAGTGGCCCTTGCAGTGTCTCGGTAATTTTTCTAATCACTCTAATCCCAGCCTTCATGCAAACATACAGCATGAGAGGACTGAGTCACATGCACACAAAACCAGACTCTGCCACGTGAGCAGTGCATCAGCACATATGATTATATCAAGAAGATAATGCGTTAGCGAAGTTTCACTAAGAATTCAAATGAGTATAAATAACTGTGAAAAACGATGAAGTTGAGATGCATATATTGTAACACGCAGTACAAGTAAAACATCAAAATTCTTAACCAGGCTTGGTGCCCAGGGTCAAAATAACTTAGCCCTGCAAATCAGCTGTGCTGATGCACACAGACAGGCTTCAGAAAACTCAGGCGCACACACACACACAACTCAGCCCTTTGTCTCCTGCTGTCATACACAAGCTGTCAGCATCCTGCAGAAAGCTAGTGTATTCATAAAGTCAGCTTTCCAAGAACTGACTTTGATTTTTGCTCCATTTCCATCATTTCGGAGAAGCTGACAGCATCAGAAGCAGAAAGGGAGAATACAAGATTTATGGAGGACATCAGTGAAGAGTGACAGAGAAGAAATGGCACACAGACACAAATAAAGCACACAAGTGATGGTGAGCAAACACAACAGACTTAACCACCCCTCCTCCCCTCCTCCCTCTGACCCTCACCCCTCATTTCCATTTCTATGGTTTGCTCCCATCAGCAGAGAGGCTGCTGCAGCACTGTGACACCCCGTGAATGAACTATTGGAGCGCTCTAGTTTTACCCATTCCTAAACCTATCACCAGGCTTATATAACAGACCCACTTTTGTACAATAGCAACACTTTTGTTGCCACATAACCAGGCACTTAGGAGAAAGTTGGGGTTGAATGGAGCGGAGTGAAAGGAGACTGGTGAGAAGAGAGGTGGGAGAGAATTCAGAGTGAAGGGAGGTGGATGGAGAGGGAAGAAATACTGATGTGTTGGGGAATCAAGGGAGAGTAATGTGTTAGTATGAAAGACAGTATCTGAGGAGAGATCTACCACCCAGGGAAGAAAGAAGCCTGTCAGAGATAGTTGAGTACAAAGAGCATAGAGGAAAGAAAAAGGAGGAGTAGGAGGACTAGTTAGTGGGAGAAGAATAGGAGGAGGGATAAATGGGAACAGGAGGTGAAGCCCTTTACAGATATTTTATTCACATTTGCAACATCAAACTTGCTCGGTAATCTTTCAGGAAGTCCTGCAGCCCCCCCACCACCACCACCACCACACACACACACACATACACAAAACCAAACACAACAGCTGCAGTAGTTTCATCCAAGAACAGAAGCATAATTCATACAGCCTGGATTAGGCTGAATCAGGGTTCCTGTGAATCCTTAGAAGCTCTTCATTAATCTCATAGTAAGGCCTAACGTTTTAAAATGCATTAAAATTAATTAATTTAATTTAAAATAGGAAATAGGATTTTATCACTTGCTTGGCTTATGTTTTCACTTATTTTTGCAGCATGGTGTAGGCAAGATGTGTAAGTTGCAGTATGTGTTTCAACCACAGTGCAATCAGTATTAGTAATTCTGCTCTGTACCAGAAAATCCTGAAGTAGAATGTCCGGAGTGGCCTAGTCAACGTCCAGAGTTGAATCTGATTGAGATGCTTTGGCATGACCTTAAACAGGCCGTTCATGCTCGAAAACCCTCCAATTTGGCTGAATTAAAACAATCCCATAAAGAAAAGTGGGCCAAAATTCCTCCTCAGTGAAAAAGACTCTTTGCCAGTTATCGCAAAAGTGTGACTGTAGTTCTTGCTGCCAAGTGTGGCACAACTAGTTTAAGGAGCGACTTTTTCACAAAAGTTCAGGCAGGTTTGGATATTTTTTTCCAATAATAAATGAAATAATCATTTAAAAAAGAACATTTATTTACTTAACCCTCCCTAGAAATGTTCTTAATGTTAGCAACTAAGGCATATACTGTAACAGACTTTCTAAATAACCTTCTTTAAACAGTCCTAACAGCTTACTAACACTGATTAGCTTGTGGCTCAATTAAGTTATTGATGATGTTTGCTCATGTGAACTTATGCATGTGCGCCCTTTGCACGTGTCCTGTGATTGTTATAGATCAGGGCACAGCCAGATGTTCAGGAGATGCGCCAGTGGCAGAAAAAACTGAGAGAGACCCGTGACATTGGCAAAACTGTCAAGCAGTTCTGGGCAAAACAAGAGAGGCGAGGTAAGCCCACATACACTTACACACACACTCACATGATATCACTGAATGCCAGCCCTCAGGCTTGCTAGTAGCATTATATCTACTACTATCAAATTCTCTTCAGTGCCTGACAAAAGCTGCTGATATTCATACAAAGGTACTAGACTGCATACAAATCAGTCCATACAATATTCAGATTTACAAAAATAAATACGCATACAGTGCGGTGTGTCAGCCTGTGCACAAATGGAGTTTCACACATATAAACGGCTGCAGAGATATTCACGCCAATGGGGCTTTGATTTTTAAAGCTGAAAGATGAGGATTCTGGGAGCGGTGACACACAGAGAGAATGAGGGCAGTGACGGAGAAAGAGAAGCAGACATGGGGAGAAAGTAAGTAATTGAGAGAGAAGATTGCAAATGAAAAAAAGAAAGAAAATGTCTTGAGGGCTCAGGCTACGCTTGTGTGACAGCGACGGCAGAGGATAGGGGGGGGGGGGATTTAAGTGTGGAAAGAGCGGAGTAACAGAGTGTAGAGGGGAAGGGGATGAAGTCTGAGACGAGGGTAAAGTGTACGTCTTTGCCTGTGGCGAGTGTGTGTGTCTGTGTGTGCACTGTGCACATATGAAGGACAGGGAAGAGCAGCTGAGAATGCAGACCCATGTCCACTGTGACTGACAAGCATTAGAGTTAAAGGATGATGACTACACGTTGTCTTTGGAAGCTTGCATAAGAACAGAGTGGTACACTGTACAAGCACTTTCTTAAATCCAAGTAGGCTCGCAGGGAAAAAAACACGACTGTTGCAAAGTTCAGCTAAAGAAATTTATTTGTAATAAAGAAAAAAAAAGCACACAAACAGAATTTTCAAAGTTGCAAAGTTCTTTGGCTTCATAAGAAGCCAAAGAACTTTGGAGAACCTCCAACTTTTTTCTTCTAACATCACCATACCCTTGATACCTTTGACTAGTATAATGAAATTCTTATCATCTTTGTGCTTTGTACAAATTAGCATACTGAGCTGAATTCACTGATATAGTCACCAATGAGGATGCCACAATACCAATACAGATACCCAATAGAGTGGACTCAAACAACAACTCCTTTATTAAAAAGTCATTTTAAATAGATGATATGGTCGAGTGTTTATTTCAAATTTTAATGCTGTATTTTTTTTTGACAGGACATAGACTTAAATAGAATGCCTTAGAATAGAATGCCTTTATTGTCACTATACAGTTGTACAATGAGATACAGATACAGATACATACAAATGTCAGGATGGTTGCAGAGTAACCTACTAACATTCCTATGAGGTATAACATGTACCATTTTAAGTAAATCTTAGCTCATTTTGAATTTCATGACAGCAACACATTTTAAAAAATTGGCGATGTTGGGGAAAAAAGACTGGAAAAGTAAGCGGTGCTAAACAAAAACAGCTGGAGGAACATTTTGCAACTAATTAGGTTAATTGGCAGCAGGTCAGTAACAGGAGTGGGTCTAAAAAGAACATATTAGAGAGGCAGAGGTTCTCAGAAGTAAAGTTGGGAAGAGGTTCACCAGTCTGCTTCTACAAATTGTGGACCAATTTTAGAATAATGTTACTAAATGTAAAATAGTAAAGACTTCAATCTAGAGAAATCTCCATGTACAAGGGACAAGGCTGAAAACCAGCATAGGATGCCTGTGATCTTCAGGTCACCCAGGCATTAAAAACAGACATGATTCTGTGATGGACATGAAAGAAATGTTAAAGCTCCATCATCGAAAAAAGAAGCCACATATGAACATGGCCCAGCAATGCTGCTGTCTTCTTTGGACCAAAGCTCATTTAAAATGGACTGAGAAAAAATGGAAAACTGCTCTGTGGTCAGACAAAGTGAAATTGGACATTTATTTTGGAACATGGACAGCGCATCCCGTGAACTAAAGATAAGAGGGACCACCCGGCTTAAGACCAGTGCTAAGTTCAAAAACCTGCATCTCTGATGGCATGGGGTTCCATCAGTGTGTATGGAATTGGCAGCTGGCACATTTGGAAAGGCACCATCAATACTAAACGGTATATACAGGATTTAGAGCAACACATTCTCCCATTGCATATTTCAGCAAAACAATGCCAAACCACATACTGCCTCTATAACAGCACTGTGTCAGCACTGTAGTAGAAGAAACACGGCCTGCCTGCAGTGCAGACCCAGACCTTTCTTACAAACAACTGGGGGCAGACCACTAAATGCACCATCATCCATGTGTAGCTTTTGCTGTCCTCGCTTCATCTTCTTCAGCACGTGAGCATAGCTAAAAACACCATTAGGTGCATCCTGCCCCTGCTGATTCCAGAAGTTACTAAAAATGCAAATCAAGCCACATTTTTTTGAATATGCATCAAACAGCAGAGCAGCAATGGTAGCACAATGATCAGAATTCTAGCCTCACAGCAAAAAGGTTCTTGGTTTGAATTTGCAATCTGGTTGGGGTGTTGTATGCAGAGTTGCATGTTCTGCCTGTGTCTTTGTGGGTTATCTCTGGGTACTCTAGCTTATTTCCACACTCAAAGACATACACACTTAGTGCAATTAGGTTAATTGGCGCTTCCAGATTGAATGTGTGCGAATAGTTGTCTGTCTTTGTGCAGCTAGCGGGGTAGATTCTTGGTCTTTTTTAGGGACATTGTATTTATTTTTCCACGCGCCTGTTGGAACGCTGTACCATCATGGTGCATCACAACGAGTTAGCAAGTAGACAGAAAAACCAAAACACATGGCAAAGAACAAAAGATGACTAAAAGAAGCTTCTCTCTACTTTGCATTGTTGCAGCTGTCTACTTTTCCAGCGGGCCCACGTAAATGATTTCAAACATTTCAATAATAAGGATACAGAAGGTGCAACTCCTACATGCACAATAGGACTAATGACACAGAGGGAAAGAAATCCGATTACACCGTGCTTACAACAGACAGCTCAACAGTAATGTTGTCGCATTGTCTCCCCCTTAGGGAACTGATATATTCAACGAGGCAACACTCATCTTCTACCCACAAATAAATAGGGATGGATGTGTGTCAACATCACACTGTTTGGAGCAATACTGGGAATTGTCTTCTTGAATGAATCCATAAATAATTACAATCTCTACATTTTACTCTGTTTGGTGCTCTAATCTGTGTAATTGCCTGATAATTTACTGCACTTTGTGGTGAACTTTTTATAGATGGGAGGATAAAAATAACCGCCAGATGTAAGCTTTGTAAAATAATAATATATGATAATAATGATAATAATATACAAAAATAGTTTTTAAAAAAGAAACCCTCAAGAAGCAATTACATCTATATTTAATCTATTCTGCTCTTCGCATTTAACCCAGATACAGGAGCATTCATACACTGAGGCGTGCTTCAGCCCATCTGACGGGGGTGTGGCGGTGTGTCATGATAAACACACGCACCCTCTAGTAACGCTAGTCATGGTAGTGTTTCAGTTTTTGTCGCTCAGAAACAAAGAACGGAGGCATCATGAGCACAGGTTGTTTCCACAGACGCATTCCACACAACAAAGGCGCTCTCTGCGGCCGACGAACATTCTTCCACGGGCGTGTGACAGCCATGCCACACTGCCACTGCTAACCGCCGCCGCTGCTGCTACTGCTGACCTGACATTCTAGCCGGGGGCCTGGGGATGGGTGTGCATGCGTAAGAGAGTGCGTGAGCGTCTGTCCAGACTGTCGCCCTGCATGGAAACCATTTTCCAACCTCTTCAACTGAGTCTACAATGGATGAAAATAGGAGAGAACAAGAAAGACAGAAAGTGACAGAAGTTGCAGTTTGTTTGCCAGCTTCTTCTGTTTTTGTTTTTTGGATGTTATAGAAGTCGCCTTCCTGCACTGTGACACATAAATGACCCATGTTTGGTGCACTTGCAGAGTTAAAAAGAGAGCGAGAAATTATTTAGGGAAGCTCCCCTCCCAACTGTACGCTCAGTCTTTAAGTCCCACAACAGCTGTGCTCATCTTATTTGACCCGAGAAAGCCGGCGTACAATGCCTCGCTGCCGCTTCATAGTCTGAAATCAGAATTAGTCAGAGATGGAGAGAAAAACAATGAGGCAAAGAGCAAAGAGCAGGCACACACTGATATGTCAAAAGGTCACATCGCACTAGACAGGTGCAGCTCTCAGCAGTTCATGAATCACCTCGACTGTCCTTGACTGGTGCTTGTTTACCGTCAGTTTGAGCCCTGTTAAAACAGCTTGTGACATCACGTGGTTGGTGACATTGTTTTGAATAGATCAACATGAAATGAAGTGGCAACAGAAATCTGTTAATTGTTTTGACATTCTCCCTTGTTTTGTTTTGTTTTGTTAGATTTTCTTCACCCGCCATGCCAAACTACAGCTTTTTAAAAGATAAGTCATGGGATCTGAATCAGGGAAATGATTCTCAGATGATAAAACAAAAAAATACTGAAGGGCCCCATCACTGCATATTTGGATTCTCTATATGTATGGATGCACTTTGAAATCTTAAAAAAAAAAAGGTTGTTTTTTTTCCAAAACCGCAATTCCATCACACTTTTTCAATAATTAGCTTGTAAATAAAGCAGTTCAATTCAATTCCATTTTATTTATACAGCACCGAATCACAGTGTCACCTGAAAGCACTTTAAATTGTAAGGTAGACCCTACAATAATACTACAGAGAAAACCCCAACAATCATATGATCCTCTATGTGCAAGCTCTTTGGTGACAGTGGGAAGGAAAAACTCCCTTTTAACAGGAAGAACCAGGCTCAGGGAGGAGTGGCCATCTGCCATGACCGGTTGGAGTGAGGGGCAAACGATACCGTAATTTGCACTTCATGACAGCCTCTTGGGTAGCACTTTATAATAATGTCATACTATTAGGCATTAGTAAGGTATTAGCGAGTGCTTAATACATCATTTATATATCATTAGTCCTCCTTAGTTTGACATTTATAAATACAGATGTGTTTATCCATCTGTTACTGTTACACTGTGTACAACTATCACTGCTAGTAATTATCATAATTTTAGTCATAATGATATATCTATATTTATAAATGGCATACTGAAGAGTAGTAATGCTATATAAATGACAAATCAAGCAACTACACATACCTTACTAATACGTTAATAATGCTTTATAGCATTATTTGTTATAAAGTGATACCGGCTTTTGTTTTTCATAGATATGCTTACTTTAACAGTGTCAAAGCTGTCACTCTTTTTTAAATACTTTGCCTGGAAAACATATCCGAACATCTCTTGTTTGTCTCCAGTGGGTTCCGCTATGACAGATCTTCCAGAAAGCCCCCAGCCTGGAAACAATGTGTCCATCCAGGTGGTTTCCCCCACTCCCCAGAGCACCGCGGTCCACACACCCACCACCCATATGAGCCCACAGCCTGGTGAGTGGTTCACACCCAGCCTGCACGTCAAGGAAGAAGTAGCCTCTACATCTCTGACTAATTTCCTGTCTGTGTCCAACAAACTAATCGCAGGGTCTCCATCGCTACTAGGAACTCACAACCTGAGCTACCCTGGTGGGACTTGGTAACTGGAATCATTAGCCTTGTGTAAAAGCTTTTTTTTCTGCTGTTTAAACACTATTAAACTCTGTTAGGCTGATGCCAAATTGACCTAAAGTGATCAGTCAAACAAGCCCTGTTTAAAGAAAAAAAAGAAAAGAATAAAAAAGATGCCTGTAACCAATTTGATATGGCCAGGCCAGGATTTATGGTCTGAGATCCGTGTCTAATTAGTTTATTGCTTTCATTGCCTTTTTGATGGATCACTTCCCTTCACGAGTCTCACCCAGCCAATGAGCACCATATAGCACGGTTCACATATTATACTGTCAGGAGTGAAACCTCTTGTAACGGGCGTCATAATTTCTCTCTCCGCACCTCTGGATGACAGCTCAGTGGAAGATAACCATATTTCCTTGATCTGTCTTTTCCTCTTTCCTTAGCAATAGACATCACTCCACAAAAGAGGTCATAGCATTTCCATTCAAGCCAGAAATTGAGGGCAGAGTCAAAGGTGGCTCGGCACACGGCGCACCGCTTTATATCCTGTTTATCAGGAAAGGAAATGACATGTCAGAGAAGCTGAGAATAAAAGAGAATTGGAAAAACATCACTTAGATCACTGGTTTGTATTTGGCAACTATCTGACAAAAAAACAAGAATCTCTAATATTATGCTTAGATTTTTATTACTTTAAAGGGTTAAAGTAAGTTTGCCCTGTATAACAATACATATGGGAATATGTGCATATATATGTATAGGTATATAATAACACAGCTGAGGAGATTAAAAAATAAAACCCTGTTAATCAGTAAGTCACTTAACATTTCTGCCACAGAAACATGGGATGGCTTGGCTACTCATTACACGCACGACATGAAATAACGCCATAAAAATAGATGTATGAGGTGTATTTAACTTTTGTTTATTCTTACTTAATAGGAGTATTTTCCTACTGCTGTTTTGGTCTTATGCCTAATGTGTTGAATAGGCGCACATTTTGCATCATCCCCATTGAGTCTGCCACCTTCAGCTGTTTGTTTTTCAAGCTGTTGGCATTCAAATATTTATCTTGAATCAGCCTCAGAAATCATGAAATTTGATTTGCAAAAATTAAAAGACTGCTGCTCAAGTGACTCTACAGTTCTTCTTCCTGTTAGACTGTCCAGGCTATAGCTGTTTTCTCTTGACTGTGGGTGTCAATTAAAGTGAAAGAATAAAGTGCACTCCTGGCATTTTTCCATCTCGCCACAAACCCAGCGTACCTGAGAGGGTACTGATGGTTGATCTTCTGTTTCATGATGAACTGCTTCTTGACCAAGTGAAGCATACCACCTCAGAGTGAGTCATGGGGAGGGTCATGTATCTCCCTTTGCAGGTATGTGGATGCCTGGAAGACAGCTGCCACTGGGTGAGGAGATAAAACGGCCCATTTAATTCTGGGGACATCTGATAGAGGAGCCAGCTCCACGAAGTCTGGCAGAACTGTACCCGACTGAAACCCGATCACACAGCAGCAGAAGGTAGTGTCGGCATCAAGCTGTCAGAGCATAGAGAGATAACAACTGGTTCTGGGTTGTGATTCCAGACTGATGTGTTAGTTAAAACTTCGTTTACACATTTAAAATGTAAAAACAAAAATATCTTATGAATGCACTGAATGTATTAAAGAAGCCTATGTCAGACAGACAAATACTCAGAACATGTAGCCCAAAGTTAAACTACAGACTCATATTTTCCATCTTTATCATCAAAGGACAAAGTAGGCATTTATGAAAATGCAATACTGTGCAAAAGACTTGAGCCACCCCTCATTTCTGTATATTTTGCTGGGAAAATGGGAAGTAGATTCTATGATTTTATTGAAATCTGTGCAGGATAGGGGTGAGCATGAAAGTCAGTGTTTTATAAAACCCCCTTTATTCTTCAACACATTGAAGAATCATCTCTGTGAAGATGACCCCACACTGCTTCAACAAAGTTGTTCTGGAGAGGCTAATCCATGACTAACTGTGTTCCACAATGCTTTTCTATTTGTATGGTTTTACTGCACTGGCATTGTGTTTGGGATCATTGTCATGCTAAAAAATGAAGCTGCTGCCAATCAGATGCTTTCCACATAGCATTGCATTATAGCTCAAAATCTGATGGAACTTTATTTTTCTGATGAGGCTTTGGTGAATGGTAGATGGATCAAGGGTCAGATGCATTGCTCACATGTGAGGTCTTTGCTGGATTTTTTCCTATCCACTCCAGTTTTCTCATTTTTTTTTTGAGGACACACTGCAAACTACTGTGATATGCCAAATTTTCAGCAAACAGCTCTTTGTAAGTCACCTTGTTGGTTGAGAAATAATATTTTATGCCAGTCAAACTGTGTTGTCTTTGTAATTTTTTTTAGATTCAAGTAAAGAAATTTAAACTAATTATGTGTTTTTGCAATAGTAACAAAGTGCCTAAAGATGCCTAAAGAAATTGTAAAATAATTCTTTGTGAAGTTGTCTATTATGTATAGACAAACCTCTGGTTCATCCTTTGAGTTAGGTGCCTTTTGTAATGCTTAATTACTTGTAGGTTGAGTTAAGTAGCTTAACAAACAAAAACAAACAACAACAAAAAAATTCCTCTGAAAATGGTTAGGTACAAGGACTGGACTAAATGAGTGAAAAAGCAACCAGTGTCCAAAGAAGAACTTGGAGAATTATTGCTCAAGACAATTTTAAAATATTACAAGAAAGTAGCTTCCTGGAAGCAAAATGTAAAGAATTCAAGGGGTGATTCAAGAATTTGCTACAGATATTAGTGAACATTAGTGAACATTTTTTTGTCAAGAGTCTGATGGGGTAGTTTATCTGTTAAAGATAGAATCTGTATGCCTATTAGCTTAATTAGCATAAAGACTATGCTAATTCTTTATGCTAGCCTGTCCATGTTCAAAGGTAACAAAAAACATGCTTAAAGCTTACAATTGAACATGTTGCATCTCATTAAATTACTTCATATGAATACATTTTTGTACAGGCTAATGGTTTCATCCTTTTGCGCATGTTTGTGCTAAGCTAAGCTAGGCTAACCAACTGCTTTAGGTTACAGAATGAAAAGTGAAAACATTCAATGACTCAATGGTTCATCTGTATGGACAGAAACGTTGCGAAGGTTTGACAAAAATGGGAAAAGCACATGCAGTTTTTTATTCTTCCATAATACCTGGCTGTTATTGTTACCATGTGTCATCAGGAAAAAAACACAACATCCAATTAAAAGTTAACTACAAATATGACACCTTTATTTAACTTTTTTTGTCCTGAATTGGTTACAGAAACAAGAGAGTTAACGGTTGGGGGTTTTTTTTGTCTTTTTCTAATCAGGGGAATCAAGTTCTATACATAGGCATGCTGCGTCACTGCACAGTCATAGCTGTGAAAACCAATATTACCCCTGTCAGCTGCCCCACTGGAGCAGTCTGAAGGCAAGACAAATCAGGAGAGTACAGGCAAGGACATGTCAACCCCAGGGAGTAAGGGTTTTCAAATGGGCTACCCAGGGACGACAAACTTAACATAGAAGTTGTGTGCAAAATCTCACCACAGTCTATTTGATTTTAAACACAGACAATATCAGTCGGAAGATTCTCCTTTTTTTTGTTCTTTTTTTTACCCTCAACTCTTCAAACTAACAGAGGAAGTTATTATTAGGTCCAGTGATGATGGCATTTTGTTCCTTTTGGGGAATCGTACTGCTTTGGACCATTTCCCTTTGTTTCTCAAGAACCAGCTCGCACAGACATTAAGTGTGTCATCTGATATACACTGAAAGTATGATTGTTGCCACATGACCTTTTACATAAATAGTTAGTATTCAAAAGTAGGTCTGAGAAAGGTCATATATGTAGAAATGGTGATAAGCATGCACAGATAGGTAGTTGACGAGTGCAAAGTCTACAAAGTCACATCATGTTATTCTTTTTTTTTTATGTACTCCACATAGAGTGAAAACATCACAAGAATCGAAACCTCCCTCCCCCTCAGCTCTGAGTGCTGATACTCAGGAGCTTTGTTTCTTTGCTGCTGACCATCTAAAACCCTGAGGACAGTTCTTCTTGCATGGATATGAGGCTTGTAGCCTGTTTCAGACCAGGCCTGCCCAAACAGAGCCTGGTATAACAGGACAAGCTGTCTTTGGGCATGAAGCTGGCCTGCAAGTAGCAGTCCTATTTTAGAATAGCCAGTGTGTAAGACATAAACATACAGCAGTAGTCAAGGATTGACCCCTTGTCTTTTCTTAGTAAGATCAGGGGCCAGCACACTGACTATTGGTGGGCTTGAGCCCTCCCTGCTTTGCATTTTCTTTTCTTTTTTTTATAGCTATCCCTAATATATCACAGACTAAGTCATGATTTACTGCATGAAGTGGCAAAATTATCAATAGGCATTGTTGTCTTTTTGAAAATTTGAACATAATCACGTTTGCATCCCCGTAACGGCAAAGTGTGGGAGGTACAACCAACATAAATCCTGATAATTGACAACTCACAATTTTTCCTTAATCAAACAAACAAACAAAAAAAAATCAAAATGAAATAAAATAAAATAAAAGCACATCTACTGTTGGCGAAACATTTCCAAAATGCTATAGTTTAAAAAATAAAAGCATAATGTAACAAACAGGCAAATGTATAAACACAAAGCAAACCAGTTAAAAAAAGAAGATAAAATCAGTTTGCAGTGGTCAGTCAGTTCTCCAATGAATCACTGATATCTAAACTCAGCCTACAGTTAAAAAAAAAGAAAGAAAAAAGGTAAACAAGCAAGCAAAGCTTTACAGCACTACTATGTACACAGCTCCTCGGGTGAAAGAGAGAGCCGGTGCCATGATGAAGGGAAAGGGCGTGAAACAGAGACTCCAGTGAAACAAGAGTCCTTCTTGGCACAGAGACTTGAGCTATAGCTGTCCACAGAAAGAGTCCGGAGGAGGAGAGGAAGGAGGAGGAGGAGGAAGAGACGCTCCACCAGAAAAAAGAAAACAGAAATGAAGACAACGACATAGAGAAGAGGAACATGAATACAAACGGACAGACATGGGAGCCATTTTCTCATACAGATTGGAGGCTGAGTGAAGGAAGTCTCAGAGATTTCACTGTCACACAGACTTCCCTTTGGGGCCGTCTCGTGCTATCTCATTCCTACTCACCAACACCCTCCTCCTCCTTTTCCATTTGATCCCCCTCTTTCTACCTTGCACTGTTAATCTGATCTTTCTGAGGCTCTAGGATATCTCCAAACACCAGCCACAGCTCTAAATATAGTCTTGTCACTCACAGCTTGACTACTGTATCCAATATAAGTGTTGTTTTTGTAGTTCCGAGCCTCACTGGAGGGTTGTGTGGAGGAATATTTAGCACCAGAAATGTACCTGGACTTTGATTTATTTTTTTTTCTTTTTTCTCCCCCGTTGACACTCGTGAAATCACAACACTCACGTACGCACACACAAACACAAATACAGGAACCGAGAACGGGAGACCATTTCATTTCCTCGCTCCGTTTCTTGCTGATATAAAGTGACAGTTTCTCCTGGCTGCTTCAAAACGCCAGTGGCTCTGGAGATGTGGGTGCGTACAGCAGTCTGACCTCGATTCATTAAGCGACGCCTCTCCCCCCCCCTCGCCCGGTCATGACTGACATTCCCTTTGTCCAATCATAATCCGCTCTGCTTTATCGTACATCTAAAAGCGGTTTGTGGAAAGCTCTGTTCAGGTGCTTCAGTTGCAGCTGTGGTCATTGGGGAAACTTCCTTTCCAGTCACAGTTCAGGCTTCGGAGTTTGTGTTTGCAAAGTGTCCATGCAGGTGGGAGGATGGCGGAAGGTGAGAAGAGTTATGTGTTTTATTCACAGATGGATCTGATCGCAACCCTAACAGAGGTGAGAGAGAGGGAGGAGACAGGTCTGGGGTGTTGGGGGTTGTCGGGTGGGGGGTAACAGTCTGGAGAGGAAAGGTTTGCTGGAGTGTTATAGGGACCACACACATACACACACACTCTTTCCTCTTATATGCTGTACATTCACACCTACAGAGGCAGGGTTATTTTAGGAGGGCCCTGCTCAACTTGTGCAGTTTGCCCATGTGCTCTGTCTACACCTACGGTGTGGAGGGATGGAGGACAGAGCCAAATGTTTCCACTCGAACGCCTTCATTGTGTGGAGCTGCAGAAAAGACATCCTGCCCGACAGAAAGAGAGAGTGAGCAGGAAAAAGCAATCTATTTCACAGTTTTCAGGGATGCCTACAATGTTGTAGTGTCACAGGAGCAAATGATGCCTAAAAAGGAATACTGCATGTCGGCATTTTCAGATCAGGGTCTTTTTCTTTTCTTTTTTTGCTACTTTCTTTCACATTTCCACTCTTCTAGAAAACCTTCAGCTCTGTCCTCCATATCCTGCTCTCTCTGAATCTCACACACACTCAAACAGTAGTTGATTGGCACACAGTCAGTGTTAAAGTCTGTACACAGAGTGAAAGGTCGATGTAGGCATCCGTGCTTTTAGTCCAGTCCAGCCAGACAGGGAGGTGGGCCCTTCGTCCCGGACCCCCCTCATTCTCCCTCCTCACCCTCTTCATCTCGTCCTTTTTTTTTTCCTTTTTAAATCACATAGCCTCTTTCCAAACCTCTCGCTCACCACAGCTGCCTCCCCGTGTAGGTAGGAGGGGCAGAGGGCACCTGTAGGTGAAAAAGTTACATTTGTTAACCGTCAGCAGTCGAGAAAGCATCTCATTTTTAGACATGCATTTTAATTCACATGGTTACAGGGTCTGCATACGTTCCATTCACACTTTATGTGCACATCTCTCTGTGTTTTAAAACAAAATGCCTGTGTTTTTGCCATTGCAGATGTATTTACACACTAAAACCAGTCTATATGAATTCTCTCTTCAAGATATCGAGCTGCCACAATCCAGGTAAATTGCAAATATCTTATGGCATTCACAGAATTGAAGCTACTTTGGCTTTTTTGCCCTGTTATTGACCTCTCAGGTGACACAGAGACTACGTCCACACTAGCCCGGATAGATTTGAAAACTCTGCTCTGGCTAGTGTGGCATTTTCGTCTGAAAACGTTCCGCGCCCACGCTAGCGTTTTCAGTCGTTTTCACAGAGTTGTGCGTACACATTGAAATGGCAGAAAACTCTAACGTTCCAGTACTGCACATGCGTGAAACGCAAGAAGATTCGGCCTGCCTCGTTTCTGTCTGCCGTTTATTTACTTTCGGGCTTGTTGAAACGTCGCGGCAAAATGTCGAGGAAAAGCACCGTGCTTTTTAAATGGACTATCAATGTCTGCTATCAAGCTGCATTTTTCCTTGGGGAAAACGCCGTCTCAGTGTGGAGGAGAGGCCAAAACGGAGAGAAAACGATGCATTCTCAAACGAAAACGCATTAGTGTGGACGTAGCCGGAGACTAGGTGTACCCTGAAACCTGAGTGGAAAACCTGCAGGCTGTATTCAGGGCTTCAGAAAAACTAAAAACTGCATTTCTTTTTCTTGTAAATGCATAGTTAATATTCTCTATAAAAATGCTATTTAACTCTTCACCCTTTGAAAACCTACTAGGAGTAACCTTTGAAGCTCTTTTATGAACATCTTTCAGGCCTGCTTGTAGTACAAAATGAGTAGGTGCGCAAACCACATCTTTAGTGATCTATCCTGAGGTGTCAAAACTAGTCATTAAGGAAACAGGGGACGTCGTTGTGGAAAGTGTTAACAAAGATACTGCAGTAAATGATACTGCTCTCTGCAGTAAGGGAACGAATGCAATATTTATCCGTCAAAAAGTATGTTTTTATTGATGGAAAATAATGGCTCATATTATTGTATTGCTATTAAATTTTAAAGCCACACGAATCCAATTATAGCAGCTATTATATTTCCCGAAATGCACTGTGGTCAGTTAATAGCCTGGTGTCCAATAATAACCAGCCTCCGGGAAAAAAACAAAGTGCCTGTCATAAAATGTGCATTCCAATTAAAAAAAAAAAAAAAAAATCCAACGGTACAATCATATTGTTGCTTTTGGTCGTGTTTAATTTGTTGATTCTGATCCATTTCGGTTTGTCATCCATTAATACCAGGCAGATGTCGTCACATATGGTTGCCTACTCCTTCAGATGGTTCACAATAAAACTCTTATTTAGGAATAAAGGGTTTTGGAAAGTGCTGTGTTTTTATCATCGGAGTAACTTAACAGAAAGTGGAGTGGATCTGAAAGTGAGGCTTTATACAAAAATAGTGCTGCAGTGACAAATGGGCGAACATGACTCATCACACAGAGAGAATTAGAAATAAAGGTTTACCTCCAGCACAGGCCACCTTCACGTTTAGCCAGTGCAACTTAGCTTGCACTTTAGCTAAAGTTACACTTATTTTAAGTGTAAATATATGGGTTTAAGCAGGAGCTTATTAATTTAGTACAAAGACTGATTTAATGTATTAAAAAAGGCTAAATGTTTCCATGTTTCCACTTTCAGCCTGGCAGATGATTGATATTTACTGTAAAGAATGGAGGGGTATTGATTTTCCTGTTTTACTTGCTGTAAGATGGGGAATGTGCCAGTCTCCTAAAATGTCAAACTGTACTCAGACCATTATCAACCTTGCAATACAATCCTGCAGTTTTCTATTTAATTCTTTGTGCTCGTATTTGTTTTAGTATCCTTTAAAATTGCTGTTAAAGGTTCTTTATTTCATGCTTTCTGCAAATCGGTTCGCTCAGAGCGCCCTGAGCCGGCTGTGCAAATAAACGCTGCCTGCCTTTAATGGGGGTGCACAACAACACCGTTCATGCACACTAGTGATATTTTATGCAAAGCAGCTTAAGGAGACGCCTCTCCGTTCCCTTTGTCAGCTCGATCACACCCAGCTGCAATTTCTAGGAATAGTGACTACAAATTATCTCTGTCAGCAGAGTGTCATTTCAGCTTTTTAGACTTCTGTAATATGCGAGGTGTTGTTGAGTGGGCTTAATTCATAGCACAGTGGCTGGAAAGCGGTTCACCTGCACCAGCCATGGTGACCATTCATCCTGCACAATGAATCTTGCTGGGTCACCTGACAGTAGCATCATTCAGTGGACAAATGGTATTATATTTTTACACAGACAGCAGAATAAGAAGCAGAAGCTTCCTCACAATCACCCTTACACAGATCAATGTCAGATGAGTGACCATTTGTGACAAATCCGTCCATGCACGTGGAACAAACACAGTCGCTTGAGAGTTTCCCAACACAAACTGAGTACGCACGCACACACTCTCACACCTCTCCCTCATTCTTGTGCAATGACGTATGGTCCAGAACGCACAAATGTGCATGCAGTCTTGTCGGCGTGGTCGAATGAGAGAGCGGCGTGTAAGCGGCGTGTACCTGTGACTGGGAGGATGTACTCACCGCTCCCCCGTTCAGGATCATGGTCATCTCGGTGGGCTGGTAGACGTTGCTGCGGAAAGGAGCGCTTGGCCTGGCACCGGTGTTGCTGCTGTGCTGCCCGGCACCGCCACCACTCCTCAAGCCTGGCGTGGAAGAGACAGACAGAGATTACTCACCCTGACTCACCACTCGGCTTACTGTCTGGAGGAACCAAAGAAACACTTGCAGAAATGTCCTCCTGCAGTTATTACTAGCCAAGCATACAAATGTTTCCAAGAGTTGCATTAGTCACTTTGGCCTACATTCCTCCTACAAAGCTAAATTACACCTGATTGCTCAAAAGTATCAGATTGTGCTGTACCTGCAGTGTTCTCGTCATTATATCCATAGCCCTGGTTCTCCACAAACTGCCTGTGAGATAGAGGGGTGTCATCGTCGAAGCTCGTCTCCCTCATCCGCGTTGAGTTCTGGGATGTGTCGAAATAATCCGGGGCAGTGGGTTGGGGTGGGGGTCTCAGGCAGACGTGAGATTCGGGAATGGCATGGAAGATCAGCAGCAGCCAGCCCTGAGCAACCAAAGCAATAGCCAGCGCTGGGTCATCCCACTCTGGAGACCTGCCGAGCCAGTCGTTTCCATACAGATAGAAGCCCACCCAGGCCACCCACAGCAGCAGTGACATCAGGCAGGTGACCAGCAGCCAGATGGCATTGCAGCGCCACTGACGTGTCTTGCCACACAGGGCCAGGGAGGCTGCGGTCAGCGCAGCTAGTAGGAGGGCTAGCACGTAGCTGCATGCCAGTGCGAAGTCCAGAGGAAGGTACTGACAGGCAGCTTTTCCTTCCCTCAGCACGGTCAGAAGCAGCCACTCTGCAGCAATGATGCCCTGTACGGCACTCAAACCCAGTGCCAGGCCGGTTAGGGCACAGCCACCAGGGCTGCGACGCTCCCTGCCAAGCCTGCGCAGGCGGACGCCCTGAACCAGCAAGCAGGAGAAGCAAACGGCAAAAAGGAGACCCCATAGGGCCCTGCGGAGAAGACACAGTGACTCATCCCGCTCAATCAGGTAAGCAAAGCTCAGGCCGAACAAGCCAAGGATACCGAGAAGCAGAAGGAGGATAGGTCCCACGCCGCTGCGCTTCTCACCCTCACTGATGTGGCGTAAACGGCACAGCAGGACTAGGGCGAGTAAGATGGCAGCCAGCACCCCACCGGCGGCCACAGATTCAACGGCCACCCCCCATATGGAGTCCAGGTCACAGAGGAGGGTGTACGGACGCACAAGGCCCCAGCCACAGCCTCTAGGGAGCGGCTCTGGCTCGCTGTTGGCACGGTGAGCAACAGTCAGCAGCAGCAGGAGGAGAACTGATGGGAACGCCATCTCTGAGAGAAGACAGATAGCGAGATGATGCAGAGGTAAGGGGCAATGAGGGAGAGTGGAGAAAAGTAGGGGAGAGAAAGTCAGTAAGTCATTCTGGTCAATAACATTTGCAAAGCTGTAGAGCTGAGCAGTCACTCCCACAGCAATCATTCCTTTGTGTGACAATAAAGACAATCGGCCACTGCTGTGTTTTAGAGAGGGAACAAAAGACAGTAGTTCATGCAGGGTGAATGACTGAAGCCTTTCTAACACACACACACACACACGTCCTGTTTCACCAATAATAGCCTTTAGCCAGACCTTTTTTGAACCTTTTAGAAGTTTTTTTAAAGGGTTCATTTCTGAGGCAAATGGCTTCAAATAAAAACAGCAACCCTCCCATGCAATGAAAAATACAAAAGAGCCCTACACAACCTACCTACACAACAACAGGGTTTTAGGGGTGTGATTTGTCTAGTCTTATCCAGCGCACTAGCCTTTGGAGTGCTGACAGGGGAGCTGCAGCATCATGCATATTTTTATGAAAAAAACAAGAGAAACAGAGAAAGGAACTACTGTGTACACTCAGTTTGGCTCACTATCAGGCATCTAAGGGCACCTAGCGACAATCTATTGTAGACAACAGCAACAGAACCTCGAGCACAAGTACAAACATTTGTGTACTTTTGAGAAAAGTGTCCCAGTGAGGGGAAAAACAAAAAAACCCACATAAGCACTCTGCAAAATCAATGCCGTCTCAGTCTCCCTTTTCTTTTATTCATCACAGCTGTCAGTCACACAAACACACATAAAAATACACAATCTTTCATTTCATTGTGGGCTTTGCTGGGATGATCAGCGCTGTCATTTCACCTGACAAAGCTGTGTGTTTTATAGGAGGTTGATCTGTATTTAAAGGCGCCACTACACCGCGCGCACAAACATATCTTCCTGCCAGGCTGCTGTCACTAAGCTTTCGGGCATTCTTTCCAGGCTGGCTCATGCACGCTGCTCTTTTCTATCCTCTCCATGCTTACAGCTGCACGTTGGATTGTTTATTTCAGAGAACTTTAGTCACAGTCCAAGTCCGCCATGAACGTCTCGCTGTGTCCACAAATAGACAGTGTTTGCATACCACATAGTGAACACTGGATATTTCCAGCTTCATGTCCTCTGTCTCTCTATATCAAGTAAGTTGGGATGAGTCATATGGTTGGGGCGATAGAGGAGAGCACTAGGTTTAAACACACCAGTTATTAAATAGAGCAGACTGGAAGAAGAGAGAAATAGACTCAAGACATTTGGAAAATATGAGGAAGTCTAGTCAATCAGTAGCAGTGTAGCCCCGCTTTGGGACGTATTGTCTTTGTGACATTTCTGACTTTCCTGTAAGGTATGACAGTAAAGAGGAAACCAGCTACAATCAATATTTTTTAACAACATTACATTAAATAAAAACCATCACTCATATTCCCATGGAGTCCTGCAGCTCTCTGCTGCTCTATAGTGACTTTCAGCTCATTGTTCAGATGTCTGTCTGCCACTTTACCGGTGCCATTTACTTTTACACTTCTAACAAGAGCTCATTCTAACTCTCCTTTGACAAAAGGACACTCAACAGTAGATTTAAATATAGCAGGTGGACTCTAAACTAATGATTAAGTTGCTTTATAATGGCTGGATGTGTAAATAAGCTCAAATTGACTGCTCATGTGTTTGTCACAGCTTAGACCGCAACATTGGACGCGCTCTAAAATCTCAATAAAAACAAGCAGATTTGAAATAATTTAAATGCTGTATTAATACAAATAAATCATCTGAGGCTTAACAGTTCTTGTGTTGCTCCAAATGAATTCAGTGCATTACAGATCTGGACTGTAGGATGGGTCAGGTTAACTGCCTGCGCTCTTTTTTCTCCTATGCAGCCGTGTTGTTCTAAGACATGCAGAATGTGTTTTGACATGGATGGGTGGACGTATATGTCACTTAGTCTTAATGGTGTCTTCTTAGGTGTGCAGGTCACCCGTGACATGTGCACTAATGTACCTCCATACCATCAAGGATGCTGACTTTTGAACTGTGTGCTGATAACAAGCCAAGTGGTCTCTCTTCAGTGAGGAGCCAGTGGTTAATCAAGGTCTTGATGGGGGTGGCGTGGGGGGACAGACAGACACTCTGTCTCTAAAGCTGAGACAGAGAGAAAAAGAGCAGTAGCCCTATGGCATACGGTTTGCTTGGTGAGTTGTACCAGCACCCACTAGTCAAGGTCTTTTTTTTTTTAATTTAATGGTACAGTTTTACATCACATAGAAAATATATTTACTGCCCATGCAGTGATTTTTAGTATTGCAGTTTAAATTTAATGAAGTACAGGCTGAGGCCCTAAAGGTCACCACTGTTTTAGTTTTCTGTCTTGTCCTTTGCAAAAAGAGATTTCTCCAGATTCTCTACATCTTTGAATTATATTATAAACTGTAGCTAAGATTCCTTACACATCATTAAAAAAAACACCAATAACACCCATGTTCAAATCTATTTTGCCACAAAAAAAAAGCATTATTAATCTTCTATAAGAAACTGAAAAACACAATATGTACTGCTTTATAATTCTTCTCCAGACCTTGCTTCTCGCCCTGCCTGCATAGTTGGACCATCCATTTATTTACAAGCTTTTGATGTTTCTTTCCTTATATACATTTAAGACGGATTTTTTAAGAGAGCAGTTGTTTACAAGTTTGCGAAATAGCATTATTTATTTCTCACCCCCCCTCCCCTCCCCTGAGGGCATAACAGTGAAAGATGTGTGAATATATATGTGCGCTGTGCATATTCATGTGTTTCGAGCCCTTTCATGATATCCTTCAGAGATTTACACTCTCCAAAATTCTTCTTCATGCCTCCTCATTAATAAAATGCTTTGCTCCCTCATTTCCTGCTTGTTATTTCCTGTTGTCTCATCCCTTCCTTCCTTCCTTGCTGCAGCAGCTCTTAGCCGCTGGTTATTATTGGTCTATATTAACATCAATCAGTGCTTACAGAGGAATGACTCACCAAAACACACACACACATAAAAACACAGAGCTGGATCTTTTTGTGCATACGCAAACACCTGACATTATCATGCACGCCTCAACGCACAAAAACACTCATGTTTCCTCCTAACATCATCCCGCTTTTTATGCTCCGTCACTAAACTACAGGAACAAGGGAGAGCAGCCAAGGAATTAAAACCTCACTCGCTCATCCTCAAAAAGCCAAGCAGCCTGCTCCTCCTCCTTCTTTTTGTCTTTCTTCCACACATCCTTTGTCACGTTGTAATTACTGGGACATTAAGGCTTTGCACTCGAGACAAGTGCACATCACAACAGGACACGGAGGGACTGGAGCTTGTGGCCTGCACACTCGTGACTTTTTGACTCGCTCGCCATCTCGTCACCCCCCTCTCGCACAGATGGTTGCTCTGGCTGCTTTTTGAGTGGCTTGGCAGACCGGTAAGCTGCAAAGCTGAAGGATGCGCAGAGAGAATGGCTGCACACATGCACAAGCAGCGAGACGTGCATGTGCAAAATGCTACGCAGAATATGCCGCACACCTACAGACACCTCTTTTTTACTTCAGCTTTACACGAGTGGTTTTAGAAGCAAAACTGTCTGGCCTTTTGGTTTGTGCAGCACAGAGGATGTAGCCGCCGTCTCGCCCTCCCCTCGCTCTCTCTAGACGTGTTTCTCTCTCTGTCACTCATCACGCAGCCATCTCTGCCCTCCCCTCCATTAAAAAAAAAAATCCTCTATTCTGTTGGATTTTTAATGCCACCGCTCCTCCAGAGCAGCCAGAGCGGCCTCGACTTGCTGTATTTGAAGACGTGCTGTGAAAGATGCGCCTCACACTCCTCGACTAGTCCCCCTCTTTTGCTACCCAGTGTCTAATCCCTAATGCACCGTCTTGCTTCCATTTTGGCATCATTTCCCCTTTTCTGCTTGTGCCCCCTCGCGCCTTCCTACTCCACCTCCTCATCCCCCCTGCTTTCCTTTCCTTTTATTTTCACTGTGTATCTTATGTAACTGAGGGAAGGATCCAGCTCCTGCCAGTTCTGCTGCATGGCTGCTGTTTCTCAGGCTTCATCTTCCTCAGTGCCAAGCAGCCTGCTGGCAACCAGAGGTCCATCTTAGTCCCCTTCATTTCCCATCTAGCAGTGTTACATGTGTTGCTTTCGCATAAACATACTGGCATTATGTTCACGCAACATCCAGCTTGGTGGCATTTACTCTGTGTGTGTGTGTGTGTGTGTGTGTGTGTGTGTGTGTGTGTGTGTGTGTGAGAAGGCAACACATTGTGACACAACACTGATTGTGGAAAGAATGCAGCATGCAATTCCTTACAGCGCTGCTGTTAAAACGCAACACGAATACAAGCATGAGAGTGCAAATGTGCAGCACTGCAGTCATTCAGATCTGCCCCAGGCTGAATAGGCAGGGATGGGGGTGGGAGGG